ATGTAGATGCTTATCCACAACAAAGGAGTGGGGAATAGAAGTTCAATGGATTAGACAAATGGAGAATAAAGGGAAAGGAGGAGGAAAAGGAACAGGAAAGGCAGTGGAATAAATCTAACATAACTTTCCCATGTACATATATGAATACACCACAGTGAATCTCAATAGCATGTACATCCATATCCATTATCATAATTAGAATAAGATATATAACATGTTTGTATAAAAATGTCAAAATAGACTCTACTGTCCTGTATATATAAAAAGAACAATTAAAAATTTAAAAGAATACAAATAAAGATAAGTGCTTTTTAGGATGTTGGTAGAAAAATAAACTTAGACATTGTTGGTGGTTGCAAATTAGTACAACCTCTTTGGAAAGCAGTACAAATATTCTCAAAAGACTAGAAATAGAGCCACCATATCCCATAGTGGGATATCACCCAGCTATCCCACTCCTTGGTATTTATCCAAAAAACCTAAAATCAGCTTACTCTAGTGATACATGCATTACAATTCTTACAGCAGCACAATTCACAATATTCAAGTTATTGAACTAGCATAGATGCTCATTAACAGATGAATGGATAAAGAAAAGGTAATATATACACATACATACATACATACACACACAATGGATTTCTACTCAGTCATAAAGAAGAATGAAATTATGTCATTTTCTGGTAAACAGAATTGGAGGATTTCATGCTCAGTGTAATAAGCCAGACTTAGTCAGGATTGAATATTTTCTGTCATATAACAAAGTTAGAGAGTAAAAAGAAATAAACCCCGTGGCCAGGCATGGTGGTGCACACCTATAATCCCAGCAGCTTGAGAGGCTGAGGCAGGAGGATCACGAGTTCAAAGCCAGTCTCAGCAACTTAGAAAATCCCTAAGCAACTCAGTGAGACCCGATCTCTAAAAAAATATTTTTTTAAAAAGGGGGCTGGGGATGTATCTCAGTGGTTAAGAACCCTGGGTTCAATCCACAGTACCAAACAAAAGCCAGGGTGGGGGGGACCCCATGAAAAATAGAAGGGAGATCTATCAAGTAAAAGCAGAACCCAAGGGGGAGGGAGGAGAGGAGAGAAAAGGGATGAAGGGGAATTGTGCTATGTGCATGTATGGATATACAGCAATTCATTCAAATTTTATATATAAATATAATTTTAAACAAATAAATAGAAGAAAAGCTGGTTGAGTAGAGACAAAGATCCAGAGGAGGGTGCAGAGGAGGGAAAGAGAAAGTATTTGGGATTATAATAAAGAAAACTATATTGTACGCATTTATGAGCATGTCACAATGAGCCTCACCATTATGTATAACTATAATGCACTTATAAAAGAAATAATTTCCCCAGCCTTACAGACTTTAACTGATTGCTTTATTAACTATACTATGACAGGAGTTATTCTAAGGTAAAATTTCCCATTGTGGTTTTGAACTGGTTTTCCTTACAGTTCTATCTTTTTTATATGATACATGAGTACCCATTATCTTGGTATAATGAACTTTTTATCATTATTAAATAGCCCTCTTTACCTCTGGTAGAGCTTGTACTTAGCAAAAAATATCATCCAATATTCATATAACTGTATTACCTCTTTGGGATAATGTTTGCATTTTCCATCCTTTCATCTTCATTTTATATGTCTCTCTTTGAAAAAATAATAGTTGCATTATTTTGTTATTTTTTCTTTTAATTATTAAACCACTTGCATATGTCCTCCAATATATTTGAGTTTAAGCCTCCCATTAAGTTTGTATCTTTAATTTATCCTCCCTATTTAATATTTGTTTTTCTCTCCTTGTTTCATTACTTTATACTGATTTTTTTGTGACTCTACTTTTTTCTCTAGTAGTGGAACTTAAAAACTCTCTTTCCTTTGAGATAAAAAGCATTTACCATTAACTTACATAAATCTAATATTGTGTAATACCTTCATACTGCTTCCAGGAAAAGCCAGGCACTTTGTTAATATCTTTACTTCTATCCTGGATAATTCAAGAAAACATAGATCACTGTAACTCCACTTACATCCTTACCATTTATATGAATTTGCTATCAGGTATTTTAATTCTTTAACTATAAAAAGCATTATTGTTTTTCTGTGTAGTAGGTGTTAATTTATAATTCATATATATACACTACTCATCTTGCTATTTATTCCTTCCAAAATTTCTGACCATTCATCAAGAATTATTTTCCTCTGCCTTCAGTAGCAGAGTGCTTGCCTCACACATATGAGGCACTAGGTTTGATCCTCAGCACCACATAAAAATAAATAAATAAAATAAAAGTATTGTGTCCATCTACAACTAAAAAATATTTTTTAAAAAAACTATACTGAGATTCCATCTCACTCCAACCAGAATGGAAATTATCTGAAAGATATTCTTGAATATCTTTCAAGAATTTTTTAGTGCAGTTGTGCTAGTGGCAAAACAATTTTTTGTTTGTTGAGAATATCTTTATTTTGCTTTTATTCATGAAGTATACCTTAGCCATATATTAAAATCCAAGTTGGCAGTTATTTCTTTCAGCCTATTGAAGACACAGTTATGCCACCTTGAATTTTTTGTTTTTGTTTAAATCAGCTGTTTCTCTGTCATTCTTACGAAGACAATCTAATGTTTTCCTTCGTTGGTTTTCAGCATTTTTCATTGTCTTGATATCTTACAGTTTCACTATTTAATATCAAGAAGTATAATTCTTTAAATTAGTCTTGCTTGGAATTCATCACATTTCTTGAATCTGCAAATTGTCTTTCCTCAGTTTTGGAAAATTTCCAGCCAAATTCTTATCAAGTATTGCCTCTGAGAATATAAAAAATCCTTCATTTTTGTTATATAAACTGAACTGAAAATTCTACTCACTACTTTGTTGTGCATTTTTGAAACATAATCAAAGAATTGTATTAATCATGACTAGAGTTTAAGGTCTCAAAACAACTTAAATCTGTTTCAGCAAATACAAACACACACACACACACACACACACACACACTAATGATACTATATATATCCATCTCTCAGTCCCCTGTGTTGTTTTTAGTATCAGGCAGATTCTCTCAGTGTGGTTCAGATCTGACCATAATCATCCTCAGGCTTCATTCTCATACTTAACAATCCCAAGGGAAACAGGGGAATTTTTCCAATAATTATAGCACAAGTGCCAGGGCTGACTCTCATTGGCCTGGTGTCCAAAGGCTGTAAGCAGTATGGAGACTCGTACCAACAGAAAAAGGAAGAATACTAGCAAAAAAGGCTATTATATTCTGTTTTGTTCAATTTCCTTAGATCATCTAGCTTCCTTTAATTTCTGTGGGCTTCTTAATTTCTTTTTCAATTCAGGATATTGTCTTATCATTTCCTAGTATCCATGTTTTTTTACATTTTATTGAATAAAGAATTCAGCACTATCTAAAATGTACTTGCCTACTGCATTGAGTATTTTTCAAAAGTATGTTTCTTTCATTTTGAGGGCTACATTCCTTAAGCCAAGAAAAGGAAATGACTTAAGTGTCCATGCACTTATGAGTAGATTTTTAAAAAAAAGTGGTCCACATACAGAATGGATTATAATTCAATCATTAAAAAGAATGAAATCCTGCCATTTGTGACATGGATGGTACTGAAGATCACTGTTAAGAGAAACAAGTCAGGCATGGAAAAGCAAGTACCACCTGATCTATCTCTGTGGAATTAAAATGTTGATGTCATAGAAATTAAGAATAGAGTGTTGGTCAGCAGAAACTAGGAAGAGTGGTAAGAAGGGAAGGGTGGGGAAAGGTTATCAGTGTGTACTGAGTCACAAATAGGAGCAAGAAGTTCTGGTATGCTTGGCAGTAGTATGACTATAGATAAAAATAATGTGCTTTATATTTCAAAAAACTAGAAGACAGGATTTGAATTTTTTGCTATAAAGAATGATAAATGTTTGAGGAGACTGATTTCTTTGCATTGACACGAACATTACACAATACAAGCATGTATCAGAATATCACATGGTTTCCCATAAACATGTAGACTTTTTACTTATATGCATCAGCTTAAAAAGTAAATTTAAACTTAAATTTTAATATATTTACTTATCTTTGGACAGAATTATTTTCAAGACTTCTAGTGTATTCAAAAGGGTGAATGAAAGGATTCTTCTTTCATTAACTTATTTTGCTTAGTTTCTTTTTAGATCTCAATTTGAAAGTTTAGATGTACTCCTTACTTAGAAAGAATTCTGCTACTTTGTAAGCAATAGCACCCATTTCCACAACTGGCCCTCTATAGGGCTTAGCCTCCTCTTTTCCTGGGTTGCACACAGTTCTTTGAATGAATCCTTGTCCTCTCGGGTCTGCACATTAAGGAACACTCTGCCACTTCAGAAAGAAATCTACCTACTCACTCTTCTTATGTCCCAGTTCAGAAAGCTTCAAACTCTGTTTGGGCTCCCTCCATGTAATGCTATTGCCATATAAAGGTGGAGTTTCCATGGCCTTGGTTAGTACCATTAGAGCTACCTTGCTCCATGCATCCACCTAGGCCACAGTTTATCATAAATGACAGCGATACACAGTAACCAAGAAGACTTAAGAGGAATTTCTATAATGTAACAATATAAGAACTAAATAAAGGGTTGGAGTTGTGGCTCAGTGGTAGAGCGCCTGCCTAGCATGCTTGAAGCACTGGGTTCAATCCCTAGCACCACATTAAAAATAAATAAATAAAATAAAGCTTCTGTGTCCCTCTACAACTAAAAAGAAAAGAGAGAGAAGAAGAACTAAATAAAGTGGGTTATATAAATTAAATGAAAAAAAAGTTGGAAGATAAAAAAAGGTAATGTATGATTTCAGAGAAATTTTAGTTTAATTAAATATTAGGATATTCACAAGGAAAGGATATGGCTACGACTGTACAATAAGTTAATAACATTAATTTTTAAAAATAAATTAAATAGAAGTAATAACTGTCTTGAAAATGCTAATAAAAATACATGACTCACTTCTTTTTCACCTGTAACAATGTTATAGACCACTGGCTGTTTTTCTGTGCTTCTGTCATTTTTGTTAAAAACTCGAAGTTCATTGTTTCCATCCCCTAATTTATAAAGAACATGCTGAAAGTCCATGGCAGATTCCAAAGGCTCAATTGCAAAGGAAACATTTTCAAATTGCAGTATTCCTCTGTAAAATCAAGGATAATATTTTAAGTGTTTTTAATCAAATGTGTATTATAAAACTGACAAAATCCCAAAGGAAAAATAACAAAGATATAGAATGTTTTGAGTCCAGTGTTTTCTTCCAAACTCTTGATATGATTCTGAAGAGACAGTGATTTCCCTAATCCACAAAACCAATTCCCATTTTATTTTTATAGTTATAAAGTCAGCAGAATTTACCTAATCAGTTGCTAGAATTACAATATTACAGTGATCAACCCTGTTTTCCATGTCACTGACTAATTAAATCAATAATAAATAGAAATCTTGATGAATTTCTCCATCTAGCAAGGCTTTTGAAAAACATAATTACACAACTTTAATAACAATTATATGATGATCAATTTTCTTAAAAAATAAGTACTTATGAAATAACATAATTTACATAATATAATTTTATATAATAAAAATCTGAATAAGAAATCAAAAGTGAGATTCTAAAGAGTAAACAATTTGTGTAACTATCCTTCCCTGAATACAGGTAACAGTTCACATCACTACTCCATTAAAAGAAAAAATTTAGGTTTAAATTTTATGTTCCATATAAGGAGCACTGAAAAACATTTGTGAAAACAAGGATCCTACACTATAAAAGGAAGGTAGATAATTTCCTGACACAATGAAAATCTCTCTAAGCAGGAAAGAAGAAACACAATGATTCTAAGAGAGAGAGTGGGATTATTAGGGGAAAAAAGACTATGAACATTATATTAATAATTATTTATATAAACACTCAAGATGATTTCCTTGAGAAAAAGTAATCCTGGTTTAACTTTATTTGCCTTTATAACTCCAAATACTAGGATACACAGTAGGCATCATAAATATTCTCTTTTCTCAAAAAATTAGCCATCCTAAACTTGGTTCTCCAACTTACTATACACAAGTACATTGAGTTGTCATTTCTCTAGTTAAGAACAAAATAAGAAAAGGGAAGGTGCTGGAGGATGAGATTAATCAAATTATGTTATGTGCAAGTACAAATATGGCATAATCAATCCCAATATAATGTATAATTACAATGCACCAATAAAATACAAATTAAAAAAGAAAAAGAGAGTGAGGAGTCTAGGGAATCCAAACCTACAAGGAAGTTAGAAATATCTCTGGTCACTGAGGAACATGACAAAAAATGATGTTAACAGGGATCCACTTAATGCCTTGAGTCCAAACCTTGCCGCTTGGCTGTAAGCAGCTTATAAAACTGTGGTATATACGTGTATTAAGAATTGTAATGAAAAAAAGTACATGTTAAAGGCAAAAAAAAAAAAAAAAAAGAATAGTGTTACCTTAGATTAAGTAGAGGGAAGTGAAAGGAGGGGAAGGCAGGGGATGTGGGGAAAAGAAAGATAGTAGAATGAAACAGACATTATTGTCGTATGTGTGTATGTGAGGGTATGGCCAATGTGATTCTACAATACTCAGAAAATGAGAAATTATATCCCATCTATGTATGACATATCAAAGTGTATAAGTACATTCTACTGTCATGTATAACTAATCAAAACAAATAAAAATTAATTTAAAAAATAAAACATTAAAAAAACTGACATTTTTTTGTTTTTGTTCCTTCCTCCTTCCCTTCTCCCCCTCCCTAAACATGTCAAGGGATGAGGGGATAGATCAACATTTCTCCCACGCTAGACTAAGCTATAGTGTTCTTCACTACCCAGAAGAATGTCACCGCCAACAAGAATAAAGAAACTCCAAACCTGAGAACGTGAGCAAAAGCTCTCTTGATGACATTTATTGAACACTACTTAATTTTATCTGATAATCTTATTTGATAACATTTGGGTCCCAGCTCTGTGTTCCTCTTTTAAAAGTCCTGCATTCCTCTGGGGCAGAGAGAATTGAAGACTCTGGGTCAGGAGTCTCCTGTGTTTCTCATTTGCTAGTAAACCAATAAAATTTCTTTTTCCTTTTTTCTTTTAAACCGTCTTCCTGGTTATCAGATCAGCAGTGGAGACAAGGACTGAACTTTCAGTACGAATAAAAGCAGAGAGTGTGTGTTCATAGAATATTACTGAATAACCATAACATAGGAATCCTCCTCTAGTTATAAATTTAAAATAAGGAGAATGAATTCACTACAGCCAAATATCATATCTAGGCTTTCTGTAATCAACAACAGAAAATAAATAAATAACCTGAGTCCAAAGCATGTGTTGAGTGTGACAATAGAATTTGGATATCCTTCAATATATCCTTGATAGTAGCATTGAGTCTAGGAAAGAAAAAAAAGAAAACTGGTTATTGAGGAATTAACATAACTTTCTAATGATTTCCTACCTCTATACTTTATATGTCCTATTACTGGATGGAGACAAGGAAGAGGGTGAACTCTGGTATGTTGTTTCAAGGGCAGAGTCAAGAGAAATTACTGATAGATACAACGGGCAGATGAAAGAAAGTTGTTCATCTGTGATCTGTGTCCAATAACATTTGTGCCTGTTTATCTTACTTTGTATTCATTTATTAAACAAAATATAAATGAATAAATAAGCAAATACAGTCCATGTTCTAGGCAATGTGAAAGGTAGTAACTCAATCTAGTTTGCTTTTAGTTTACCAAGACCTAAAGAATTAATTAACAATTAATCAGTAAACACTTTAAATATATCTCCTGTGAATCTTGAGAGCTTTCTATATTAGGAAAGCACTTATTCAATGTAAAAAAATTTTTTAAATTATAAAACATAAATCTCCTTGATGTTTAAGCAAATTACATAAAATTTTCTTCTGGATAACAAATGAATGCTTATTTCTGCATGATATAAGCAAAAATTTATTTTTTTTCCTATTCACTTGAAATAACCTATGGCTTAAAATGCTCTTAGAGTTTTATTTCTCAGAATTAAAATCTGGTCACTTGATCTCTATTTGGTTTTCTGGTTTAAAAATAAAAAGGTTTCTCTTAACAGTGTCTTCAGTGACAATGCAAGGTAAGTATTAGAGGAAATCAAAAATTGTGCTTGGGGGCTTTTTGTTATGGGATACTGCTTTTGTTTTTGTTTCTGTTTTTTTTTTTTTTTCTTTTTCCTTAACATTATCTGCTGCAATTTAAATAAAATTTTAAACATTTTAAGGTATTTAGTAGACAGACCAAACAAAATTACATTTGTTTTTATTTTAAAGTGAATGTTTTTCTCTTCAACTAATCTAAAAACAAAATACCTTATGTAGAAATATTTTCATAATATTTTTACTACAAGCTTTCCCGTGTTTTTTATGTCTTAATTTTCCTTGCTATGTTTACTGTAGGTTCCATAAGAATTTTACTCTCTTGTAATTGTGCCTCAGACTTTTTGAAAGTCCACCTTCTAAATTGCCCAGATGATGATCTAGATTCCACATGTTACATTGGTTTATTCTTGTGCTCTCTTGTATTTAAAACTTTGGCTGTACTAAGCAAATGCAAGGTTATAAATTTAGCTAATAGGAGTTTACAGACAATTCAGATGATTATGATTTCTTGGTTTAACTGAGCTGTACTAGTTTATCTCATAAAGAAATGATGCTGTAGACAAATGTAAATAAAGTCTGTGAGTCAAGCAAAAAAAATAATAAAATAAAAAATAAATAAAACATAAATCTTACCAAAATATCTGAAGAATGAGAACTCACAGATCCTTTATTATGCAAATAGACCATAAAATTATCTGCCAAAAAATATCTGAATATAAAAAAGAGTGAAAGAATGCAAGAAGTTATTCCTTGTGAAACATACAAAGCAACAGTCTATAAACAAATCCTCAGGTCTAATCCCGCCCACTCTTCACTACAGTTTTATTGGAACATAGCCACACCCATTCATTTACATACTGTCTGAGGCTGTTTTCACGCTGCAACAGCAGAATTAAGTAGCTTAGGCAGAGACCATATGGTTCTCAAAAAATCAGAATAGTTACTTTCTGGATTTTTAGAGAAAAACTTTGTCAACTGTTAACATAAAGGTAGTATGAAATAATACTACTGTTGAAATACTTAAATTTTATTCAAAGTAATATATTTACTCCCACCTTAATGGAGTCCTTTTTAAAAAATAAAAAAAACATGTGCAAGAAGAGGAGGGGAATTTTTTAAGATATGTATTGGATGTAGGACTATAAGAGTTTTCAGTTCCTTTACTCTAGGTCTTAGTATTATGCATATATACTACTTTGATAATGAAGTGAAAGAGTATTGCATAAAAGTCTTATTATTCTTAGTATTTGGAATAATACTAAGAAAGAATTAGAAATTTCAAATCTAAATTCAATCATTTCTGATTATCATTTCCAGTACTTATTATACCATTTTAGTTTCTTCCCCAACTCATGTTCGCTCCAGCCCAATGTAACTCAACTACATAAATTAGTTGAGAAAACTTTTTAATGACTATCTAGTTGTCAAATCAAAAGGCAGTCTAAAGGCAAGTAAAACAACTCTGAAGCATCTCATGCTTGGCTACATTCCCTTAACACCATCTCCTGTTAGATTTGTTTTCATTTTTTTAGGTTGGGGTATCAGGGATTGAACTCAGCCCTATTTTGTATTTTATTTAGAGACAGGGTCTCACTGAGTTGCTTAGTGCCTCACTTTTGCTGAGGCTGGCTTTGAACTTGAGTTCCTCCTGTCTCAGCCTCCCAAGCTGCTGGGATACAGGAGTTTTGTTAGGTTTTAATGATGCTTTCTCTCATGTCTATATCTCCTTATAAATCACCTCATCTAGATCCTTCCTTTGTCCCTTAAATATTTCCATGACATTCAATTCTACATTTTTTTTTACATTCTCACCTTTAAACTTCATCCTCTACTTCTATAGGTATATCTTGTTCATTTCTGTGACTGTGTTTACTACTTGTATTAAAAAGATGACTTTGATTATCATAGCTTCTCTAAGTGTGTAGTGTGGTGTCTTCAGCTTTGTTCATTTTTGATCATGATTGCTTTGGTTATTTGGAGTTTTTTGTGGCTCCACATAAATTTTAGGATTTTTTTCTATTTCTGTAAAAAAAATACCATCGGAATTTTGCTATTATAAACAGAACTGATTTCTCAATTTCCTTTCACATAGTTTATTATTACTGTACAGAAATGCAACCTATTTTTGAAAGTTCATTTTATAACCTGTAACTTACTGAATTTGTGTATCAGTTTTATAGGGTTGTTTTGTTTTGGTGGAATCTTAGGATTTTCTATATATAAAATCATGTTGCCTTCAAACAAGGATAATTTAACTCTTGCTCTCCAGTTTGGATACCTTCTCTTTCTTTTTCCTAATTGCTCTAACGAGAATTTCTAGTGCTATGTTAAACAGAACTGGTGAGAGTGAGCATCCTTGTCTTAATCTTAGAGGGAAATCCTTCAACTATTTACCATCGACCATGATTATTAGCAGTGGGTTTTTCAAATTTTGCTTTTATTGTATATGGAGATACATTCCCTCTATACCTAACTTGTTGAATCCTTTTAATCATGAAAGGATTTTGAATCCCATGCTTCTCTCCCAAGTTCTAAACCAAATTAACCATCAACTGAACACTTTCCCTGGGGTGTCCCACTAGCAATTCAAGTCCAGATTCTCCAATAGTGAGCACATATTTTCCCTGACTCAGATCTGTTCCTTTTCTGCCTCTGCTCTGATTATGCAGGTGCTGCTGGTTCTGCCAACTTACTAAAATAGCAGTCTTCAGGAAGTGAATCCCTACTTGTTTCAGTTCCCAATCCCCATTTACAAAAGACTACTTTAAATATTAGGATCAAAAATTTAAATGTCACATGCAAGCATTTGCTCATCCAAGACAACTAAAACTTTTAATAACAACTATATTTATTTTTCATACTCAATTTTAACACAAGTGAACAGTTTCATAGAGATTAAATGAAACCTAAAGAATAAAAAAAAATTACCTTTTTTTAAGGTGCACAGTATACGGTTTCTCATCTATTGGAATGATGTAAGATACCTGTTCCTAGAAAATCCAGAACAACTGAAGTGAAGAAAAATTTAATATAAGAAACAAAACACAATTATATATCAATTAACCCCTCCAAACAATGCTTTAAATGTACTTATTAAATATCTGAGTATATATGATTTAAAATCTATAACAAAACATCAAAAATTTGTATTTAACCAGGTACAATGGCGCACACCTGTAATCCTAGCACACCTGTAATCCCAGCAGCTCGTGAGGCTGAGGCAAAAGGATTGCAAGTTCAAAGCCAGCCTCAGCGAAAGTGAGGTGCTAAGAAACTCAGTGAGACCCTGTCTCTAAATAAAATACAAAAGAGCCTGGGGATGTGCCTCAGTGGTGAAATGCCCCTGAGTTTAATCCCCTTACAAAAAAAAAAATACCTGATTTTAGCATAATAAAAACAAAAGACACATTGAGGAAGACAGGATGGAGTTTCCTATGTCATACCTTACCCAACCCCAAGCAACACAGTGTGGAAGGAGATGCCTCCTGCTTGGAAAAGGGGAAGGGAATCAGGCCCAACACAATGAAACCCAGAACCAAGCAGAGCCCTGCTACCCATGGTCCCAGGTCAGCACCCTCAGACTGAGCCTGAGGACCTCACATTAGCCAGGTGGCCATAGGACTGTTTCACCAACCTCAAGAAGCACTCACAGAACAACAACAACAAAAAAAAGTCTCCACTTACTAGTATAGCAGGAAAGTGAGCATAGAAATTTGCCTTGAAACTCAGTGCCAGACCCACTACAGTGAGATTCATCATCAGGCAGAATCCAAAGGCTCCCATACCCAGGTCAGTACTTACAAACAGAGCCTCTAAGCATGCCAACAATTAGGCAGAAACTGCAGCCCAGGAAGATGGACTCAAGATTCAGCCTGCATTACTGCCAGCTGTGGCACAGCAAAGAGCAAGCTTCCATTTACTAAGGGTTAGGATAGGGAAGTAAGCACAGGATTTTCTCTTAGAACTCAGTGCCAGGTCAGTGACACCCAACACTAGGGAGATGCCAATGCCTCCTACCTCCTACCTCCAGGTGACTGTCCACAAAGTCTTCAGGCCAAACCCAGTACCAGGCAGAGGCCCATGACCTTTGTGGGTAGGACTTCTATGCTGGACAGTATCAACTGTGGCTGATTACAATATTCTCAGGCCTTGTTCACACCATAGCAGTAGGCAGCATATAGCACTGTAGGCCTGGTCCTGCCCTTGTGCTATGCTGATCTCAATGGGCTATGGACTCTGGGTGGGACTCAACAAGTCTGCAAGACACAGGACTGCCTACTCAACACACTTCCAAACCAATCAGGACCACAAAGAGAGAGTGCCCACTTGGAAGCAGAAAAGGTTAAGTAGGCACCAAGTCATCGTACAGCCAAGAGATGATCCCCCCACTGTAAGGCCCAGAGTCAGTCAGAATTTCACAGCATCTGATCATAGGCCATTGACCATTTTAACAAAGTATCTGAGCTCAATTCTTCCCCAAGAAAGGTTTGTGAGAAAAGCCTATCCTATTTAGGCACCCCCCCCCCCATTCATACTGAATAACATACATCAACTGGAGACTCTCAGCACACCAGGACTTAGGGCATGATCTAGGGATGAAACAGCAGAAGAGATCACAGGATTAGAGAAAACAGGCTATCTGTTTAGAATTTCTGAAAGGACAGGCACAAACAAAGTCAGATTATGAAGGTGGGAATAAGCAACTAATTTTTCAATATACCGCTGTTGTCATATTTCAGCAAGCCTCAAGACCTACCAGGGAATAATCACCTCACCTAATGACAAAAAAAGGTGTCAGAAACTGACATAAATCAAATGATAAGTGAAAACTCTTACATAGAATTCAAAATGGCTATTTTAGGGGAACTCAATAAATTTTAAGAAAACACAGAGAAACAACTCATTACACTGTCAGAGAAACTTAACAGAGAGATTGAAGTAATCCTTTAAAACTAAACACAAATCAATTAGATGCTAAAAGATAAAGACAAAGGATTCTCAAGCGGCAAGAGAAGAGAAAGAAATGGCCAAATAACATATAAAGGTGTTCCAATGCACCTGATACAAACTTCTCAGCAGAAAGATTATAAACCAAGAATGAAGAAAATGAGATTTTCACTTTGCTAAATAAATTTTTTTTAAATTAAAACTGCCAACCAAAATACTATACCCAGAAAAGCTAGTCTTTAGAAATTAACAGCAGGTCTTCCCTACTAGAAATGCTAAAAGAGGTTCATCAAACTGAAAAATTATTGAGTAAGAGACGCAGGAGAAGGTATAAAAATTACTGATAAGAGTAACTATACAATTTTTTAAAGTAACTATACAAAATCGGAATGCTGTAAAACCAAAAACTTGGTGTATAAACCATTCATATCTTTACTATAAAGGCTAAAATTCAAAACAAAAAATAATGACATTAATATGAAAAAGACAATACAGTATGTTGTAGAATAGGACATCAAAAATTCAACTTGTGAGAAGGAATGAAGAGCAAGTGTAGAGATTTTTATTAGTTTTTTCCCTCCATTTTTGTTTTTGTTCCTATCTTTATGACCAATTAATATGTTAACATTTGAAACAGCGTTATAATCAAAATAATTTTTTGTCAGCTTCATGGTTAACCTAGAGCAAATTCTGTAATATATACCAAAAATAATGACAAACAATTAAAACACACTACTAGAGAAATCACTTGGCCACAAAGGAAGACTTAAGAGAGGGAGAAAGTAAGAAAGGAACTATGGTAAAAGTATGAAATAACAGAATACGCTAGTAAGACCTTACCTGTTGATAACTATCTTAAGTGTAAATGGGTCGGGCTTCCTGTTCTCCTTTCCTCTGCTCAGATTTGAGATCTGACTTCCACCTACCCAAATTGCTGGTCTCAGCTCAGTCTCTGCCTGGACTTGGTGGCAGCTGAGTGCTGAGTTGGGCAAGCACTTCCCAAGAGAGGCTGATCTACCTGGTTCCCCTTGTTCACAGGGGAGGGAGAGCCCTTGGAATTTCTGCCTATGCCCACAGACATTGGAGAGGGCGAGGGACACCTAGTGGTAAGTTACCGAGTCCTAAGAAAACTAGCGAGACTTTCCTCCAGTTCACTGTCCTATGAGGGGCCAAGCCAGAGAGAAGCTGCCCATAATCTCCAAATCTCCAGCATCATAGAGGCAGGGAACCCCAGATGGTGGCTGAAGCTGACAGAAAGCTACAACAAGAGGGTGCCTAAGTCCTTGGGACACCTAAAGAGGAAGTTCTCAGATCTTCACCATAGCCAGCAGGAGGTCATTCAAAGCAATAATATGTCTGGGCCCAAGGCAACCAGAGCTCCCAGTCTGAATTCTCTCCTAGCCCAATTCATCTCCCAGCTTGAACCTTGACCACAAATATGGAGTGTGATAGGACATGGTTTAGATACTGGCTGGACTCTGCCTCACTCACAGTCAGCAGAGGGAGTCAGCACCCGCCATTCAAAACCTGGGGCAGTGGAACTAGAACAGTATGAACTGGCTGAGTTCCATTCTCCAGGAGTAATGACAGTAACCTCAATGAGTTGCACAGGCCAGGGGAACATTTGTGCAACAAAGATCACATGCAGAGAATCTGCAACCCCAGGACTTGTGCTTATTGAAGCCACCAGAATCTATACCACCAAGAAAAGGACACTGTAGAGGGGACTCTCCACAATCTCAGCCACAGCCCAGAGCCTTCATCCAGAACTTCTTCACACAATAGAAACACACAACAGACACAATACCACACCCTCCAAGCACTTAGCCACAGGCCCCTGAGCTGACAAACCAGAACCAACCAGTTGATGGAAGGTCCATTGCAACTAGGAGAGTGGCTCCTGTGTCCCAGCATCTCTGGAAAGATTCAAGGGCAAAGAATGACAGACACCTTCAAAATGCCCCAAATCGTAATGAAACTCATCTTGGCATGGTTTTCTATAAGTAACTTTAATGTCAACCTTAATGATATATAAAACTCTATCTTGACTGCTAGTTCTTACCCTAATAGCCAACATTGTACCTTCAACCCACATAAATACATTTTTTTCCTAACAGTTTAAAATATCATTTGGGGGCTGGGGATGTGGCTCAAGCGGTAGCGCGCTCGCCAGGAATGCGTGCGGCCCGGGTTCGATCCTCAGCACCACATACAAACAAAGATGTTGTGTCCACCGAAAACTGAAAAATAAATATTGAAATTCTCTCTCTCTCTCTCTTTAAAAAAAAAATAAAATAAAATAAAAATTTTTAAAAAGTATATCATTTGGAATCATTCTTCCTATCCCTAGTTTACACTTGTTCCTCTTATCCCCTATTCTTCCTTTCACACTGTCTACCACTACCTCAACTAGGATCCACATTTTTTACCTTTTTAATTCAGTCTTAGCATTCTATTCTTTTTCTCACTCTTTTGCCCAATCTTCTTCCCCTTTTCAGCCTTAATATAATATTATAGCAGTTTTACTCTATTCGTAACTAATTCTTCAGCCTGTTCCAGTTATAAACTTATGAAAAGTTTATACTAAATTAGAGCAATTGTGTAGAACAATATCAACAAGTTTTTCACTTTTCATAAGGTTGTATATGTGCTTTGACTCTGAAGTCATTATAGAAAATAGGCTTCAGTGACATCTCTCAAAGTGGATCTGATCCTGGAATCAATAGAGGCCACACATTGAGCTAAACTATTAATACCTGGATATTCTTCCAACACCAGGGCTTATAAAACAATAAAGCTAACAAAGTAGGCATTTGCTTATAAGAAGAAGCAATAACCATCCTATTAGATGGGGAGATATACAAGCAATATGAAAAAGCAAGAGAACAAACCACCTCACAACTCAGAACACTTCAACAACTGACCCCATTAACACCACAGAGGAAGATATGTCAAAAAATAATTTAGAAAGTTCATAGTTAAAATGTTCATGAGATAAAAGAGTGAAAGAGAAAATAAATAGGAAGTAAAGATCACTTCAATAAAGAAATGAAGATTCTGTAAAAGAACCAAATGGAAATCCTGGAAATAAAAATCTACTAAATCCAATTGAAAATTCAGTGGAAAAAAGAATCACCAATAGATTAGGCCATTTTGAAAATAGATTTTCAGTCCTTGAAGACAAAGAACATAACCTCAAAAATAAAACTGACCATAAGGAAGAAATGTTAAGAGACCATAACCAGAATATGCTGGGAAAACATCAAGATATTAAATTTACGAAACACTGGGGTAGATGAAAGTTCTGAAATACAAACTAAAAGTATGCACAATCTTTTCAATGAAATATTAGAAAATTTTCCAAACATTAAGAATAAGAAGGACATTCAAATATAAGAGGCATATAGGACACCAAATATACAAAATCACAATAGATCCACTCCAACAAATTATTATGAAAATGTCTAACATAGAGAATAAGGATAGCATTTTAAAATTTTCAAGAGATAAATAGATTGTCACATTTACAGGAAAACCAATTCAAATTTCAACTGATTTCTCCACCCAAAACTAAAAGGCAGAGGGCATGCAATAATATATACCACACTCTGAAAGAAAATCAGTTTTAACCAGGATTACTATATCCAGAAAAATTAAGTTTCAGAATTGAAGATGAAATAAAAACCTTCCATGACAAACAGAAGCTAAAAGAATTCAGAATCACAAAACCTATATTACAAAACATACTCAATTAAATATTTCATGAAGAAGAAATGAAAAATAAAAATGAAAACCAGCATAGGGATGCATTACAGTAGAAGGAGAGTCCATTAAAGGAGCATCAAGTCCAATTTAAACATTAAAAATACATCAAAATGGCACTGAAATAAAGTATGTCACTCTATAATAACATTGAATGTGAATGGACTCTTCAATCAAAAGATATAGGTTGGAGGGGGTTATGATGCCAGAGTAGAGAAGGTTGCTTTCCTAGCTGCTCCGTGGAATGAAACCAAGAAAGCAGACAGGCAGCTTCTCATCAAGGAGGCCTGAGGCGTGTCTGGGTATGGAGAGTTAGAGATCAAAGACACTGCCCGTCTAAACTGAAAGGCATGCTGCAAAATATTCTTTTGCAGGGAAGGTGAGGAGAGGACAGAGGAAAGAACCATATTGCAGCTGTGGTATGGGGGCTGGCAGATCCCTGGGGAGCAGATCCCTGGCAAACCCAAGTTTGGCCTGAAATACAGACCTGGCAAACCCACACAGCACAATATAGAGTGTGCCTAAGTGACCAGGAGAAAAACAAACCTGGAGAGAGGATTACACAGGGTTAACACAGAGGCTTACACTGGTCATGGAAACCCACCTGGCTCTCACCCTTCCCCTCCAAAGCTTGCAGGACCAGCTGGGAGAGGAATTCAAAAGGGTGGGGGGCAGGCAAGATTGAGTTTGGAGACTGAACCAGAGATCAGGAAAGGTGGAGTCCACAGGTGATGTAGTGGACTATGAATTGACTCCTCCAACCTATGAGTAGAACCCAGGGGAAGTCCCTGGTGTACAGTCTTCCATCAGGGACCCCGGCAACTGCTGGGCCATCTCCAGAACAACTGGCATTCAGCAAAGAGCCCATCAAAGCCTAAACCCCATTTCCAGGAATTCTGCCGAAGAGATTACCTCACTCACTCCAGCATCTGGAGGGTGGAGCATCATGCTCCAGATGACCCCATCTAATTATGCTGAGAAGATGAAAATCTTTTGAAATCCAATGAAAACAATTTTTTAACTTTTCATAAAACTTTTTTTCTCACTTTTTTTTTCTTTTCTCTGGTTAATTGTGACCTTAATGATTCATGGACATTTATACACACTCATATTTGGGGGGTTTTCCCCCTCATTTCTAGCATTTTTGAAGCCAGTTATTTTTCATGGATTACTTTTTGATGTTTGATTGATATCTTTCCGTTTTGTTTTGTGTTCTTTTATTTTTAATATTTTTTTAAAATTTTTACTTTATATGTATATTTTTCCTCTCACCCTTCTGTATTGCTTAATTCTATTTCGCTCTTTTCTTCAAATAAGAGCCAATCTCTATTGTTCTCTCTTTCACTCTTCAATTTTTTGCTTCTATCTGCTCTTATCTTCTCTCATAAGCAGCACTTCTATTCTCTCCCTGTTCATCATCCAAAATTGTAAACTCTTTTGTCAACTTACCATTTTTATTGTAGGCAATAACTTATGTCAATTCTGTTTATTGTGACAATTAGCATTGTAGTTGTCACAGCAGGAACTATTTGGTTTAATGCTGTATATTGATTGTAATGATTGTTGTTATTATTTGTCTCCCCCAAAATTGTGAGATACTGGAAACAGGGAAACTATAAATCTAGATGGTAGAAGCTCTTCTGCCTCAGATCCATACTGGTAGAAGGTAGACACACTAACAACATGAAAAAGCAAGGTAACAAATTGCCCCAAACAAAACAAGATACTCAAATAACAGAATCCATCAACACCACAGTGGAAGAAATGTCAGAGAAGAAGTTCAAAATGTACATATTTAAACTGATCTTCAAGGTAAAGAACAATATAAAGAGTAAAATCAGACAGAAATATAGAGTAAGTGAAAGATCACTTCAAGAGACAGAGATTCTGAAAAGAAATCAGGCAGGAATCCTCAAAATATAGGAATCAATAAATAAAAATTCAATTAAAAGCATCAACAACAGACTAGGTCACTTGCAAGACAGTTTTAGGCAATGAAGACAAAATATATAATCTTGAGAACAAAGTTGACCATGGAAAAAAGATGCTAAGAGACCATGAACAGAACTTCTAAGAAATATGGGACAACATGAAAAAACAAATTTAAGATTTACTGGGATAAGTGAAGGTGCAGAGATATAAACCAAATAAATACATATTTTTTTCAATGAAATAATATCAGAAAATTTCACAAACCTGAAGAATAAAATGGAAAATCAAATACAGAAGGCTTACATGACCCCAAAACCACAAAATTATAACAGACACACATCAAGGCACATTATTATGAAAATGCCTACCATAGAGAAAAAGGATCAAATTTTAAAGGTTACCAGAAAATAATTACAGATAATAGTCATAGGGAAATCAATCTGGATCTGAGCTGATTTCTCAACCCACACCCTCAAAGCTAGGAGGTCTTGGGATAACATATACCAAGCTCTGAAAGAAAATGGATGCCAGCCAGGAATACTGTGCCCAGCAAATTTAAGCTACAGAATTGATGATGAAAAAAAAAAAAAACTTTCATGAATAAAAAAAGTTTAAAAAAAATCACAACTAGAAAGCCTGCACTACAAAAGATACTCAGTGAAATATTTCATAAAGAAGGAATGATAAATAAAAGTGAAAAACAGCAAAGGGAGAAACTATACTAGAAGAATAGCCAATCAGTTTTAATTCAAATTAAAACCATAAATAAATCAAAATGACAGGGAATAAAAATAATTTCTCAATAATAACACTGAATATAAATGGCCTAAACTCATCAATCAAAAGACATAGAATAGCAGATTGGATTAAGAACAGCCCAACAATATGCTGTCTTCAAGAGACTCACCTCATAGGCAAACACATCCACAGACTGAAGGTAAAAGGATGGGGGAAAAAAATACATCATTAACACGGATTTTGTAAACAAGCAGAGGTTTCTATCTTCATATCAGATAAACTGGACTTCAAATCAAAGATAATCATAAGGGACAAAGAAGGACATTCATACTGCTTAAGGGAATTATATATCAATAAGACATAACAATAATAAATATTTATGCTCCAAACAATGGAGCATCTACATACATCAAACAAATCCTCAATTTCAAGAATCAAATAGACCACAACTCAATAATAGTGGGTGACTTTAACACACCTCTATCACCACTGTATAGATTCTCCAATCAATCAAAAACTAAATAAAGATGCTATTGAACTAAAAAATACAATTGATAATTTGAACTTAACAGACATATATAGAATATTTCACCCATAAATGACTGAATACACTTTCTTCTCAGCAACACATGGATCCTTCTCTAAAATAGACCATATATTAGGCCACAAAGAAAATCTTAGCAAATATAAGAAAATAGAGATAATACCTTGAATTCTATCAGATCATAATGGAATGAAATTAGAAATCCATGATAAAATAAAAAATATAAGCTACTCTAACACCTTGAGACTAAATAATATACTATTGAATGATGAATGGATAGCAGAAGAAATCGGGAATGAAATAACTAAAATACTTAGAGGTAAATGAGAACAGTAATACAACATATCAAAATTGCTGAGACACTATGAAGACAGGTATAACAGGAAAGTTCATTGCATTGAGCTCATTCACTGAAACAATAGAAAGTCACCAAAAAATAACCTAACATTACATCTCAAAGCCCAAGAAAATGAAGAACAAATCAACATCAAAAGCAGTAGAAGGAAGTTCTGGAGGGAGAGCCCGCCCATCCCACGCCACTGTGTCCCGAAGTCTGGAACAGAGCCACTCCACGCTGGGGTTCCTTATTCTAAAGCATGGCTCCACAGCCCAACATCAAGGTACATATAGGCTTGAGGCTGCCACCACCACAAAACTGGAATAGCATCACTTCTAGCAAGGAACAATAATAAGGACCTGGTAAGACATCATCAAGGTCCCTGTGGGCCTGGATGCACCAGAAGTTTCCCTACTAGGGGTGCTAACAGAAATCCTGTTGCTGAGGTAACAGAGTCTTGCATGGGGTTTCCTATCTCTTGTTTCTCCAACCAACAGCCAACTTCTGATTACCCTCTCATTAGTCATATAATCCAATACCTCCATATAATACCTCTCACATCCTACATCATAAACATCTCAGTCAACCCCCATCACTCCTTCCACCATCAGAAACTGTAAACCATTATGCAAATCTACTGACCATATGGTAGAAGATAACTGAACTCATCATTTTTGATTATAGTGACAAAACTGTAAATGTAAAAACAGAAGCTAACTGGGTACATTGAGTGCTGTAATATTCATCTCTCCCTTAAAAGTGAGATATTAGGAACCTGTAGGGACACTATAAGACAATAGGGCAGAAGCTGTAATCCCTCAGATATACACTGCAACAAAGGAAGACACATAGATATCATGAAAAAGCAAGAGAGGAAAGTACCCCAAACAAACCAAGATACTACAACAATAGAATCCACAGATAGCACAGTAGGTGAAATTTCAGAGAAGAAGTTCAGAATATACATACCTAAAATGATTTGGGAATTAAAGAATGACCTAAGTAAGCAGATACAGGCAAAAATTGACCATTCCAACAAAAAGATAAGAGAACAAATTCAGGCGACCATCAATCACACCAACAAAGAGATAAGAGAGCAAATTCAGGTTGCAAGAGATTACTTCAAGGGCTACGGTTGTGGCTCAGCGGTAGAGTGCTTGCCTAGAAAATGCGAGGCCCTGGGTTTGATCCTCAGCACCACATAAAAATAAGTAAATAAGGGCTGGGGACATGGCTCAAGCGGTAGCGCGCTCACCTGGCATGCGCGCAGCACTAGGTTCGATCCTCAGCACCACATACAAATAAAGATGTTGTGTCCGCCGAAAACTAAAAAATAAATATTAAAAAATTCCCTCTCTCTCTGTCTCTCTCTCTCTCTCTCTCTCTCTCTCTCTAAAAAATAAATAAGTAAATAAAATAAATGTATTAAAATATTTTTTAAAAAATAAAAACATAATTTTTAAAAAGAGATTACTTCAAGAAAGAGATAGAGATACTAGGGGGAAAAACAAACAGAAATCCTCGAAATGAAAGAAACAATAAGCCAATTTAAAAAAATCAATAGATAGCATCACCAACAGACTAGAACACTTGGAAGATAGGACCTCAGGCAATGAAGACAAAATATACAATCTTGAAAATAAAGTTGACTTCACAGTGAAGATGGTAAGAAACCATAAACAGAATATCCAAGAATTATGAGATACCATCAAAAGATCAAATTTAAGATTTATTGGGATAGAGGAAGGTTCAGAGATTCAAACCAAAAGGGATGCACAATCTCTTCAATGAAATAATATCAGAAAATTTCCCAAGCATGAAGAATGAATTGGAAAATCAAATACAAGAGGCCTATAAGACACCAAATGTACAAAATTACAACAGATCTACCCCAAGGTACATTACAAGGAAAATGCCTAGCATACAGAATAAGGATAGAATTTTAAAAGCTGCAAGAGAGAAAAATCAGACTACCTATAAGGGAAGACCAATTCAGATCTCAGCTGATTTTTCAACCCAGGTTCTCAAAGCTAGGAGATCCTGGAACAATATATACCAAGCTCTAAAAGATAGTGGATGCCAAATAAGAATCTTATATCCAGCAAAATTAAACTTCAAATTTGACAATGAAATAAAAACCTTCCATGAAAAACAAAAGTTAAAAGAATTTACATCAAGAAAGCCTGCACAACAGAACATTCTTGGCAAAATATTCCATGAGGAGGAAATGAAAAACAACAATGAAAATCTGCAAAGGGAAAAACTACAATAAAGGAAAAGCCAACCAAAGGAGAAACCAAGTCAAGCTAAATACCAAAAATAAACAAAAGTTACTGGTAATACTAATCATGTCTCAATAATAACTCTAAATGTTAATGGTCTAAACTCACCAATCAAAAGATATAGGCTGGTAAAGTGGATTTTTAAAAACAGACCCAACAATATGCTGCCTTCAAGAGACTCATCTCATAGGATAAGACACCCACAGACTGAAGGTGAAAGGTTGGGGGAAAAAAATACACCACTCACATGGTCTATGTAAGCAAGCAGGGGTTTCCATTCTCATGTCAAATAAAGTAGACTTCAAGCCAAAGTTAATCAAAAGGGAGAAACATGGATATTTTGTACAACTTAAGAGAACCATACATCAACAAGACATAACAGTTATAAATATATATGCCCCAAACAATGGAGCATCTACGTCCATCAATCAAACTCTTCTCAAGTTCAAGAGTCAAATAGACCACAAACGGTAATCTGAGTGACTTTTTAACACACCTCTTTCACTACTGGATAGATCTTCCAAACAAAAGCTAAACAAAGAAACTATAGAAATCTAGAATACAATCAATAACTTAGACCTAATATATAGATTATATTATCCATCAATGAGCAAATACACTTTCTTCTCAGCAGCACATGGATCCTTCTCTAAAATAGACCATATATATTATGCCACAAATCAAATCTTAGTAAATACAAAAAAGTAGAGATACTATCATGCATTCTATCAGACCAAAATGGAATGAAATTAGAAATCAATGATAAAATAAAAAATAAAAGCTACTCCAACACCTGAAGACAAAATAATATACTATTGAATGAAAAATGGATTGCAAAAGATAACAAGGAGGAGATTAAAAAAATTCTTAGAGGTAAATGAGAGCACCAAAACAACATATTGAAATCTCTGGGACACTATGAAGGCAGTTCTAAGAAGAAAGTTTATTGCATGGAATTCACTCCTTCAAAGAAGAAAAAGTCAACAAATAAATGACCTAACATTATATCTCAAAACCCTAGAAAAAGAAGAACAAATCAACCCTAAAAGCAGTAGGAGATGGGAAATAATTTAAATCAGAGCTGAAATCAGTGAAATTGAAACAAACAATTGAAAAAAATTGATAAAACAAAAAGTTGGTTCTTCGGAAAAATAAATAAAATTGATGAACTATTAGCAATGCTAATAAAAAGAGAGATAAAACTCAAATTATTAACATCCGTGATGAAAAAGGAAATATGATTGACACTACAGAAATACAGAGAATAATTAGAAATTACTTTGAAAATTTGTACTCCAATAAAAGAGAAAATATTAGAGGTATCGACAAATTTCTAGAGGCCATATGATATGCCCAAACTAAATCAGGATGATATACACAATTTAAACAGATCAATTTTAAGCAAGGAAATGAAATAGAGGACGCCATCAGAAACCTACCAACCAAGAAAAGCCCAGGACTAGATGGATACACAACTAAATTCTAAAAGATCTTTAGAGAAAAACACACACCAATATTTCTCAAACTATTTCATGAAAGAGAAAAAGAGGAAACATTTCCAAACACATTCTATGAGGCCAATATCACCCTGATTCCAAAACCAGACAAAGATACTTCAAAGAAAGAAAACTTCAGACCAATATCTCTAATGAACATAGATGCAAAAATCCTCAATAAAATTCTGGCAAATCGAATACAAAACATATCAAAAAGATTGTGCACCATGATCAAGTGGGATTCATCCCAGGGATGCAAGGTTGGTTCAACATACAGAAATCAATAAATGTAATTCATTACATCAATAGACTCAAAGATAAGAATCATATTATCATCTTGATAGACGAAGAAAAAGCATTTGACAAAATACAGCACCCCTTTATGTTCAAAACGCTAGAAAAGTGAGGGATAACAGGAACATATATCAACATTGTAAAGGCTATTTATGCTAAGCTTCAGGCCAACATCATTCTAAATGGAGAAAAATTGAAAGAATTCCCTCTAAAAACTGGAACAAGACAGGGGTGCCCTCTTTCATCACTTCTATTCAACATAGTTATTAAAACTCTAGCCAGAGCAATCAGACAGACAAAAGAAATTAAAAGATTAGGAAAAGGAAGAACTCAAATTAGCACTATTTGCAGATTATATGATTCTATACCTAGAAGACCCCAAAAATTCCACCAGAAATCTCCTAGAACTAATAAGTGAATTCAGCAAAGTAGCTGGATATAAAATCAATACCCATAAATCAAAGGCATTTCTGTACATCAGTGACAAATTCACTGAAAGAGAAACTAGGAAAACCTCCCCATTTATAATAGCCTCAGAAAAAAATAAAATACTTAGGAATAAATTTAATGAAAGAGGTGAAAGACCTCTACATTGAAAACTACAACACGCTAAAGAAAGAAATTAAAGAAAACCTTAGAAGATGGAAAGATCTACTTTGTTCTTGGATAGCATAATTAATATTGTCAAAATGACATACTACCAAAAGCACTATACAGATTCAATGCAATCCCAATGGCATTCCTTATAGAAATAGAAAAAGCAATCATGAAATTCATCTGGAAAAATAAGAGACCCAGAATAGCCAAAGCAATCCTTAGCAAGAAGAGTGAAGCTGATGGCATTACTATACCAGACCTTAAACCATACCACAGAGCAATAGTAACATTTAACAGCATGGTATTGGCACCAAAATAGACTGGTAGACCAATGGTACAGAATAGAGGACACAGAGTCTAACCCACATAACTACAGTTACTTTATATTAGACAAGGTGCCAAAAACACATTGGAGAAAAGATAGCCTTTTCAACAAATGGTGCTGGGAAAACTGGAAATCCACATGTAGCAAAATGAAATTAAATCTCTAACTCTCACCATGCACAAAACTCAACTCAAAGTGGATCAAGGACCTAGGAATTAAACCAGAGACCTTGTGCCTAATGGAAGAAAAAGCAGACCCAAATCTCCATCATGTCAGACTAGGCTCCAACTTTCTTAATAAGATTCCTATAGCACAATAATTAACACCAAGAATCAATAAATTGGATGGATTTAAACTAGAAAGCTTCTTCTCAGCAAAAGAAACAATCAGTGAGGTGAATAGAGAGCCTACAGAATGGGAGCAAATCTTTAGTACAAGCACATCAGATAGAGCACTAATCTCTAGGATATATAAAGCACTCAAAAACCTTAATACCAAAAAAAAAAATCAATAAATGGGCTAAGGAACTGAACAGACACTTCTCAGAAAAGGATATACAATCAATCAACAAATATATGACATCATTACCCTAAATACATGTATGAAGACACAAATGATGTGAAAATACTTTGTGTACATTCAGTGACTTGAAAAATTGTGCTCTATATGTGTAATATGAAGTAAATTGCATTCTGTCATCATGTATAACAAATTAGAATAAATAAGTAATTTTTCAAAAAAGCAGAAGACAGGAAGTAATTAAAGCTGACAAAGTTTTAGAGACATGTGACCTACCAAAATTGAGTCAGGACAGGAAAATTTAAACAGATAAACTTCAAGGAATGAAATTGAAGAAGCCATAAAAAGTCTACCAAGAAAAAAAGCCAAATGGATTCTGAGCCCAGTTCTACCAGACCTTCAAATTATAACTAATACCAAATCTACTCAAATTATTCCATGAAATGGAAAAGGAAAGAACCCTTCCAAACTCATTCTATGATGCTAGTCTCACCATGATACTAAAACCAGACAAAGAAACATCAAGGAGAGAAAATTTCAGACCAATAACCCTGATGAGCATAGATGCAAAAATTCCTAATAAAATATTGGCAAACCACAAACAAAAAACACATTAAAATATAGTGTTTTGTATGTGGTTTGCCAATATTTTATTAAGAATTTTTGCATCTCTGCTCATCATATAGACTTAAGGACAACAATCACATGATTTTCTCAATAGATGCAGAAAAAGCATCTGACCAAGTACAATGCCAATTCATGTTTAAAACACTAGAGAAACTAAGGATAAAAAAAACTTCCCTTAACAATGTAAAAGCTATACATGACACACCCAAAGCCAACATTATATTGAATGGAGAAAAACTGAAATAATTTCCTCTAAAAACAAGAACACACAGGATGCCCACACTCACCACTCCTTTTCAACATAGTGCTGAGAACTCTAGTCAGATCAATCAAGCCAGAGTAGGAAATTTAAGGGATACAAGTAAGAAAAGAAGAATTCAACTTGTATGTATTAGTTGATGACATTATCCTATATTTAGAAGACAAAAACAAAACAAAACAAAAACACAAAAAGACTTATAGAGCTGATAAACAATTTTAATAAAGTAGCACTATATAAGATAAACACACATAAATCCATTGTTTTCCTGTATTCCAGTAACAAACCTGCTGAAAAAGAAATTAGGAATAACACCCCATTCACAGTAACCTAAAAAAAATCCTTGGGAATTAATCTAACAAAAGATGTCCAGGACCTCTACAATGAAAACTACAGAACACTGAAGAAAGAAACTGAAGAACTTACAAGATGGAAAGACCTCCCATGTTCTTGAATAGGCTGATTCAATATTATTAAAATGGCCATACTTGGGCTGGAGTTATAGCTCAGTGGTAGAGTGCTTGCTAGCATGTGTGAGGCACTGGGTTTAATCCTCAGCACTACATAAAAATATTAATTAAATGAAGGTATTGCCTCCATCTACAACTAAAAAAAAAAGAAAAGAAAAAAGCCATACTACCAAAAGCATTATACTGATTCATTTCAATCCCATCAAATTACCAACAGTCTTCACAGAGCTAGAAAAAGCAGTTCTAAAATTCTCTTGTAAAAATAAGAGATCTAGACTAGTGAAAGAAATCCTGAAAAAAAAAAGAGTGATGCTAGAGGCATCACAATACCAGACCTCAAAACATACTATAGTTACTACCATAGTAACAAAAACAGCATGGTGCTAGCACCAAAACAGACATGAAGACCAATGAAATAGAATAAAAGACACAAAGACAAACCCACAAAAATACAATTATCTGATACTACACAAAGGTGCCAAAAATATATGTTGGAAAAAAATATTGCCTTTTTAATAATATCCTATTCACAATAAACTCAAAAAATAAAGATAAATTGGGGAAATTGTAAATCTTTATGTAGAAGAATGAAACTTGACCTCTATCTCTGACCCTGCACAAAATCCAAATCAAAGTGCATCAAAAACCTGGGAATTAGACATGAAACTGTACAACAGGTGGCAGAACATCTAGATACAACAATCCAACATAGTGACACAGGCATCAGCTTCCTTAATAAGACCCTTAAAGCTCAAGAAATAAAACCAGGAATCAATAAGTAAAATGGCATCATTCATTTCTGCACAGTGACTGGAACAAATAACTCAAAATGCTTCAACAAATGACTACACTGACACTACAGTAAATGTCAGAGAAGGAATATAGAAAGTTCATAGTTTAAATGTTCATCAAATTGAAAGATGATGTACGGAGTGAAATTAGAGAAAAAAATACAGGTGAAAGGTCCCTTCAATAAAGAGATAGAGGTTCTGAAAAAAAAACAAACAGAAATCCTCAAAATGAGAGAATTAATAAATGAAATTAAATATTCAATGGAAAGTATTACCAATAGATTAGACCCTTTGATGATAGATTTTTAGACCTTGAATTTAATGTTGACCATAAAGAAATTATGTTAAAAGACCACAACCAGAATATTCAAGAAATATGGGAAAACAGCAGAAGACCAAATCTAAGAATTATTAAGGTAGCTGAAAGGATCTGAACTACAAACTAAAGGGGTGCACAATCTTTTTAGTAAAATAATATTAGAAAAATTTCCAAACCTAAAGAGTGAGAAGAAAATGTAAATACAAGAGGCATATACAACTCCAAATAGACAAAAATCAAAGTATATCAACACCAAGGTACATTATATGAAATGTCTAACAGAGAATAAGGATAGCATTTAAAAATTTTCAAGAGATAAATGGATTGTCACATTTATAGGAAAACCAATTCAAATTTCAACTGATTTCTCCACCCAGACACTAAAAGGAAGAGGGCATGCAATAATATATACCAAGCTCTGAAAGAAAATCAGTTTTAACCAGGATTACTATACCCAGAAAAATTAAGTTTCTGAATTGAAGGTGAAATAAAAACCTTCCATGACAAACAGAAGCTAAAAGAATTCAGAATCACAAAACCTACATTACAAAACATACTCAATGAAATATTTCATGAAGAAGAAATGAAAACCAGCATAGGGATGCATTACAGTAGAAGGAGAGTCCATTAAAGGAGCTGAAAGCACATCCTTAAAAAACAGGAACAAACAAGGATTCCCACACTTACAATTTCTATACAACACAGTGCTTGAAAGTCTAGCCAGAGCAATCAGGGAGAAGAAGTTTAAAGGGACATAAATAATAGAAGAAGAGCTCCAATTATCTCTGTTGGCTGACAACCTGAACTTATATTTAGCAGACACAAAAAACTCCACCAAAAGAATTCTACAGCTGATAAATAAATTCAGCAATTTATTTATCAACAAACAAATCAATCACATTCCTATACTCTAATAATGAATGAGCTGAAAAAGAAATTAGGAAAACTATCCTATTCACAATAAACTCAAAAGATAAAAATAAAATGCTTGGGACTCGATCTAACAAAAGTGGTAAAGAAACTCTACAATAAAAACTACAGAACACCAAAGAAGTAAATTGAAAAATACCTTAGAAGATGGAAAGATTTCCCATTTTTTGGGGTAGGCATAATTAATACTATCAAACTGATCATACTTCCAAAAGAGCAGATTTGATACAATCCTCATCAAAATATCAATTCTTCATAAAAACAGAAAAAGCAATTCTGGAATTCATTTGAAAAAATAAGAGACCCAGAATATCCAAAGCAATTCTTAGCAAAAAGGGTGATGTTGGAGGCATCACAATACTGGATCTCAAATTATACTACAGAGCTATAGTAAAAAAACAGCATGGTACTAGCACCAAAACATACATGAAAACCAATGGAACAGAATAGAAGACACAGAAACAAACTCACATTAATACAGTTATCTGACACTAGACAAAGGTGCCAAAAACATACGATGGATAAAAGATAGACTTTTTAACAAATGGTGCTGAGAAAACTGGAAATCCATACATAGAAGAATGAAATTTGACCCCTCTCACCCTGCACAAAATTCAATTTAAAGTGCATTGAAGATCTAGGAAATAAACCTGAAGCTCTTTAGCAATCAGAAAAATGCAAAATATAGGCCCAACACTCCAACATGTTGGAACAAGAACCGACCTCCTTAATATGACTCCTAAAGTGCAATAAATAAAATATAAAATCAATGGATGGCATCATATTGAAAAGCTTCTGCATAGCAAGGGAACAATTAAGAGCATGAACAAAGAGCCTACAGAATGGAAGATCTTTGCTACCTGCTCCTGAGAGCATTAATATCCAGAATATATAATGAATTCAAAAACTTGACAAAAATGCAATTAATAAATGGGCAAAAGAACCAAACAGATACTTCTCAAAAGAAGAAATACAGCAACAAATATATGAAAAAATATTCAACATCTCTAGCAATCATGGAAATACAAATCAAAATTACATTGAGATTTCATCTCACTCCAGTCAGAATGGCAATTATCAGGCATACAAATAATAATAAATATTGGTGTGAATGTGGAGGCAAAGGAACACTCATACATTGTTTGAGGGACTGAAAATTAGTGCAACCATTCTGGAAAGCAGTATAGAGATTCCTCAAAAAACTAGTAATGAAACCATCCTATGACCCAGCTATCCCACTCCTTGGCATATATCCAAAAGATTTAAAATCAGCATTCTGCAGTGATTCAGCCACTTCAATGTTTATAGCAGCACTATTTAGAATAGCCAAAGTATAGAACCAACCCTTGGTGCCCTTCAACAGATTTATGGATAAAGAAAATGTGATTATATATATATATACACACACACACACATATGTATATATATATGTATATGTATATGTATATGTATATATATGTGTATATACATATATATATATATATATACACACACAATGGAGTGTATAAAGTGATAAAGAAGAATGAAATTATGGCACTTGCTGGTAAATGGATGGAAATAAAGACTATTATGCTAAGTGAAATGAGCCAGTCCCAAAAAGTCAAAGGTCAAATATTTAATAGCAGAGGCTAACTCAAAATGGGGGTGGGGAGAGATAAAGGAAAAAGGGGGAGAAGGGATTCTATCAAAATAGAGGAAATATCAATAAAACAGATAAATGGGATTGAGTGGGAGGAAAGAAAGATGGGATGGGGAAGGACTGGGAATAAATTTGAACAAACTTTTATACCACGGTGAATATGTGAATATACTACAGTGAATTTCAACATCACAAATATCCACAAGACACTAACTTAAAAAATAAAAATAAAATCACAAATAATTTGAATAAAGATGAATAGAGTAGAGGGAGGGAAGCATGAGAATAGAGGGGAAGGGGACTAAATTAGAGCAAATTATATTCCATGTTTTTGTGATCATGTCAAAATGTATCCTAATGTTATATATAACATAAAAAGAATCAATAAAAAATGACATTGTAAAAATAAAACATAAGTGGCCCAATGAACTAAACAGATACATTTCAAAAGACATACAAATGGTCAACAAATATATGAAAAAAATATTCAATAACTTTAGCAATCAGAAAAATGCAAATTGATACTACACTGAGATTTTTATCTCATTCTAGTTACAATGATAATCATCAAGAATATAAATAATACTGCTGGCAAGGATATATGGGGAAAGGATCACATATATACAGTCAGTGAAACTGTAAATTAGTACAATAACTATGGAGATCAATAATGGAGATTCCTTAAGAGACTAGGAATGGAATCACCATATAACCCAGGTATACCATTCCTTAGCATTCATCCAAAACAATTTAATTCAATGTACAATATACATATCTGTGTTTGTAGTAACACAATTCACAATAGATTAGTTATGGGACCAATCTAATTGTCTATCAATGAATGAGTAAAGAAAATATGATACATGGGGCTGGAGTTGGGGCTCAGCAATAGAGTGCTCGCCTAGCAGGTGCGAGGCACCGAGTTCGAGCCTCAGCACCACATAAAAATAAATAAAATAAAGGTATTGTGTACAACAATAAGTAAATATATATGTATATATAGTTTTTTAAAGAAAGAAAATGTGATACACACACACTGCACATACACACACAATGGTGTTTGATATAGCCATAAAGAAGAATGAAATGTCATTTTCAGGAAAATGGGTGAAACTAGAAAGCATTATGTTACATGAAATCAGACTCAGAAAGGCAGGCTCTGTGTATTTTCTAATATATGTGGAAGCTAGAGAGTAAAAAGAAAGAACATGGACCTCAAGAAAAAAGAGGCAAGATCAGGAGAATAATGGAAGGAGACGACAGGGGGAAGGAAGGCAGGGAAAAGAATTGTCCAAGAAGTGAAAGACTAAATTATGTTACGTGCATATATTAATCTGCCACATGAATCTATTATGTATAATTATAATGCAATTTAAAATTATATCTCAATGAAATCATAAAAAACAAAAGGTCATCAAAAAGTTGAGCCAGGCATGGTGGCACACATCTGTAAACCTAGTGATTTGGGAACTTGAGACAGGAGGATGGCAATTTCAAGGCCAACACTGGCAACTTAGTAAGACATTGACTCAAAACAAAAAAATTTCTAAAAAAGGATGGGGATGTAGCTCAGTGTTCAGAGTGGCCCCAGGTTCAATCCCTAGTACTAGAAAAAAAATTGTCCACTTATACTATTAGGCTTGTTAAATTGTATTTTGTTTGTTTGTTTAACATCCTAAGAAACAGCATAAGCACATGGCATCTCCAAAGAAATACTTAAATAAATCAATGGATAAAATAAACTTTCTCCCTTTTTAATAAAAATAGAAAAATAAAAAATTACTCCTTCTTTGAGAATTTGTAGTTTCATGAGTAAAGAATAAATAAAGAGGGTTTTGTTAAAAGATATTCTTGCCATTTTGAAGAATATTTTCTTCATCCAAATCTCCTTGATATCACTAAGATAAGACACTTAATTCTTCAACATTATTTTCTATGCTGAACTTTAAAAAAATAATTTACCATGAGGAAATGATAAATGTTAATAAACAAAGCTGACCATTCTCACATATATATTTGCTTTTATCAACAGAACTTTGAATTCCTTATCAGTAGTAATATTAGATATTTACATTCATATTTTATAATGGGATTCATATATTTCAGAGCCATGTAATGAAATATGAAATTTCCTATAATTGTTTATATTATAAAAATATTTCTTACTGTATCTACCTCTGAATTATCACTTTTCTCTCCTTGGATTTTCTTTGGAAGTATGATTTGCAAAAATGGATTTTGAGAACCTGAAGAAATTAAAAGAAAAAACATTTAGCAACCCTGCCTTGAATTTGACTAAATATCTGTTTGACACTTTTCAGAGGTTTACTTGTGCAGGTAAGGATGGTTCCTCACTGTGTACTCCTGTGAAAACCTTGAGCAGTCACTTCATCAGCACACACACAAAATAGAATGATAGAGAGATTAGCATGTTTCCTGTGCAAGGAAGACACTCAAATTCATGAAGAATTCCATACTTAAAACTAAGCAAAATGAAACAAAAAAAAAAAACCTTGAAAACACTTAATTTAAAAAACATACAATGTAGTTTTAAAGACCCAAAAAATAAAAATACTCAATTTATACAAAATTTTCTGTTCCTGGAAAAAAAACAGAATAGACAAAAATAAATAAACAGCCTACTTAAGAAAACCTGTTGACTGTTGTGCACTGAAGTCTAGTTTCATCCTTCTACACATGGATATCAAGTTTTCCCAGCATTATTTGTTAAAAAGGTTATCTTTTCTTCAACATGTTTTTGGAAGCTTTCATAATGACCAGATGACTATGTCTATGCAAGTTTTTCTCTGTTTCTTCTACTCTATTCCACTGATCTTTATGTCGGTTTTAATGCCAACACCATGCTATTTTTATTATTATAACTCTGCTGTATAATTTGAGATCAGGGATTGTGATGGCTTCCAGCATTGCTCTTCTTACTCAGTATTGCTTTGGTTCTTATGGGTCCTTTATTCTTCCAAATGAATATCAGGACTGTCTTCTAATTCTGCAAAGAATGTCATTGATATTTTGATGGGGATTGCATTGAATCTGTGCTTTTGGTAGTATAGCTGTTTTGACAATATCAATTTAAAACCTCTAAGTGCTTTTTCAATTTCTTTCTTCAGTGTTCTATAGTTTTCATTGTAGTGGTCTTTCATCTTCTTGGTTAGATTTATTCCCCAAAGTCAATTCATAGTGGCTCAACGACCTAGAAATTAAACTAGAAACCTTGCAACTGCCAGAAGAAAACTTAGGCTCAACACTCCAACATAGTGGCACAGGCATCGGCTTCCTTAACAAGAACCCCAAAGCTCAAGAAATAAAACCAGGAATCAATAAATGGGACAGCATCAAATTTAAAAGTTTCTGCACAGTGAAAGAAGCAATTAAGAACATGAAGAGAAAGCCTGCAGAATAGGAGAAAACCTTTGCCACCTGTTTCTCTAACAGGGGATTAATATCCAGAATATATTTTTAAAAAACTCAAAAACCTTTAACGAATGCATGCACCCACGCGCGTGCACGCGCGCACACACACACACACACACACCAATCACTGAATGGGAAAATGAACTAAACAGACACTTATCAAAAGAAGAAACATAAATAGCCAATAAATATTTGAAAAAAAAATGTTCAACATCCAGAGTAATCAGGGAAACGCATATCAAAACTACACTGAGATTTCATCTCACTCCAGTCAGAATGACACTCATAGAATACAAATAAGAATAAATGCTGTCAAGCATGTAAGAAAAAAAGGTACACTCATATATTATTGGTGGAACTGCAAATTAGTAGAACCACTTTAGAAAGCGGTATGGAGATTCCTCAAAAGACTTAGGGATGGAAACACCATATCTATCAAACTCAGCTATCCCACTCTTTGTTATTTATCCAAAAGAACTAAAATCAGCAGAATATAGTGATATGGCCACATGAGTATTTATTATAAGCTAATTCACAGTAGCCAAGTTATGGAACCAGCCTAGGTGCCCATCAAATGATAAATGCATAAATAAAATGTGGTTTATATATAATGGAGTTTTAGCTATAAAAAAATAATGAGATTATGGTTTTTGTTAGTAAATGGATGGAAATGAGAATATTATGCTAAGTGAAATAAGCCAGACTCAAAGTCAAAGACTTCATATGCAGAAGCTAGAGCAAAGTATCAGGGGAAAGAGGGCAATTCAATGAAAATTGAAGGGAGATCAGTAGGGGAGAGGATCAGGGTTTATGGGAGAAACAAGGGAAAGGAATGGGGAGGAAGTGAGGAATTAAATTGAACAAATTATACTATATGCATATGTAAGTATACCACAGAAAATTCCACCTGTGTTTATGTCTATAAAGCATCAATTTTTAAAAAATGGATTAATAGAAGACTATTGGTGGCTTAACATAATACAAACTTATTTTTTACATGAAGTCTAATGGGAATCATCAGTTTTCAATTAAGACTCAGAAATTCAGGTTCCCTCTGAGTGGTGACAAACAGCCTATGGCCTCAAAAGTCACTGTGGTTTTCTAAATGCCACCATTCACTTTAAAATGACTCAGTTATTTTCACATTAGTGGAAAACTTTAAAAGGAACTGATAATAGAAATTCTATAAATAATTTCAAATAAAAAGAACAATTTTCTAAATATTGTAATTGTAGAAAATGGCCCAGGGAGAAAAATGAATGAAAGACCAACAAGGAAGCAAGAAAGGAGATAGGGAAGGAAGAAGATAAGGTAAAAAAGTGGGAAGAATAAGAATTCCTAAATAGTTTTATAAGTTAGTTCCATCAAACAATATATAATTCCTATTTGGTAAAAAACCCATTCAGAGAAAGTTATGTTTGTTTATGGGGATAATAAATCTTGATAATAAAAGAAAAAAATCATACAACCATCTCGATAGATACAGAAAAGGCCTTTGGTAAAGTCTATCACCCATTCATATTAAAAATTCTGGAGAAAATAGGGATAGAAGGAACTGACCTCAACATTTACAGCTGTATGTGACAAACCCAAAGCCAACAACACACTAAATGGAGAAAAACTGAAAGCATTTCCTCTAAACTCAAGAAGACAAGTATATCCACTTTTACCATTTCTATTTAATAAAATTTTCAAAACTCTAACCAGAGGAAAAATATTAAAGGGATGCAAAATAGGAAAAGAAATTATCTCTGCTAATGATATGATCCTATATCTAGAATACCAAAAAAACTCCACCAGAATACTTCTACAGCTGACAAATGAATTCAGCAAAGTAGCAGGATACAAGATCAGTACTCATAAATCAATAACCTTCCTATACTCCAACAATCTCTGTGCTGAGAAAGAAATCAGGAAAGACTTTCACAATAACTTCAGAAAAAATGCTTGGTAATTAATCTAACCAAATAGGTGAAATATATCTATAATAAAATTTACAGAACATTGAAGAAAAAAATTGAAGACGACTGTAGAATATGGTAAGGCTTCCCTTGTTCTTGGATACACAGAATTATTATTTTTAAAATGGCCTTACTGCCAAAAGCAATGTACACATTCAATGAAATCCCCATCAAATTACCAATGACATTCTTAATAGAACTAGAAAAAAAAGAAATACCTTAAAGAATAAGGGACTCAGAATAGCCAAAGCAATTCTGAGCAACAAGAGTAATACAGGAGGCATCACAATACCTGATCTCAAATTATACTACAGAGCTATAGTAATAAAAACACCATGATAATAGCACCAAAACACACATGAAAACCAATGGAATATAATAAAAGACCCAGAGTCAAATCTACATTCTTACAGCCATCTGATATTTGATAAAGATGCTAAAAGTATGTTAGAGAAAAGATAGCCATCTTAACAAGTGGTGCTGGGAAGATTGAATATCCACATGTAGAATAATGAAACTAGGTCACTATCTCTGGCCCTGCCACAAAAGTAAACTCAAAGTGGATCAAAGACCTAGGAGTTAGGCCTGAAACTCTGCAAATGCTAGAACATTTAGGCTCAATAATCCAACATAGACCCTAACACCCCTAAAGTTCAAGAAATAAAACCAGGATCAGTAAGTGGCAGGGCATCATATTAAAAATCTTCTGTACAGTGAAGGAAGCAATTCAGAGCACAAAGAGGGAAACTACAGAATGGGAAAAAAATATTTGCCAACTTCTCCTCAAATTACCAGATTAAAATCCAGAATATATAAAGAACTCAAAAACTTTTAACACCAAGAAAACAAATAACCCAATCAATAAATAAATTAAAAAATCAGGAAAATATTGATAAACCTAATATGAAAACCAAGATACCATGAGTATCTTGGTTTCTCAGGTAAACTGCAAGCTTAAAAACAACCTGTGTAAGATATATAACAAATAATTCATATCCAAAGTTGTGTGGGCTCTCTCGCGCCCAGCAAAGAGGACCACAGAACAGGGTAGAAGAGCATGTGGCTGTGGAGTCACTCACTAATCAAGACCTCCGGAGACCAAGCAGGAAGCGGGTCTGATTTTTTTGCAGTTGCCATGTATATATACTCAGGCAGTAGCTAGGCTGATTATAGGCAGCCACCAATACACTTTCTTGCTAACTGTCCTTGCAGCGACCAATCAAGCAGGCTGTAGAGTAAACACAGGGACTGCAACACATGGCCTCATGCCCAGGGCTGTGCCTATGGGGTAAGTGGTCTGCTGCTCACGTACCTAGCACGAGGGGAGTGGCCTGCCACCCATGCCCTTAATGTATGCCATGTATGCAGTACTCCATGCACTTGTCTCCATATAAAGTAAATAAAAATAGATGATCTACATGAATATATGCAACATGCATTCATCATTCATAAATACAGAATTCATTACTTCAAAAAGAACATGTATTTTTATAATTCTATATCTAATTATATAAAGAAAAATCTGTAAAAGTATCACCAAATTGATAAACATAGTGGTTACCTTTAAAATTGCAATAAAATTGACAATCAAGAGGGCACTTCACATTCTAGCAGTTATCATCGTTTTTACACTAAATCTAAACCCAAGCCCAGAATCCTTTTCTATATAACACTGGAAGTAGTCATTGCACTCTGTGCTCCTTGCAAATCCCACCTTTTCTCATCCTCTATTTGCTCTGAAAGGTACATATGAATATAGGCAACATTTCTTTGTCAAGATGCCATCTATCTGTATATGAAGGATATCTGGATGCTTATGTTGAACTGTAAGTCATATGTATAACTACAGTGCAAGACATTCTGGTTGTCATCTTTTAATTTTTTATTTATATGAGAGACATTTAAACTTCAATGGAAAATGCCAGTTCCAAACTGCTACATGGTCCAGTTAGCTGAGGGATCTTGCTTAGCAATCGGAGATGATGTGTTCACATCAATTCCCTCATCCCACCAATTCCTTGACAGGCTCTAATCTGCTTCCTATCTCTGTGGATTTACCTAGTGTGAATATTTAATATAAATTGAATC